ATAGACTCCCTCCACTCTTACTGTTGATAATACCATAGTCGCCGTTCACGATTGTGTATTTAATATGCGATAGGGTAGTGAAGACGAACACCCCAGGCTGCGTCTCATCCCATACTGCGGCTCCACATTAATGCCCATCAGAGTAGCCCATACTTACACCCGACTTCACCCTGACGTTCTCATGTAGAGAATGTAGGAGCTCCAAGTTACGCCCGTTAGCTAATGTGATGTTATGCTTGCCCAAAAAGGCCACGTAACTGGACAAGACAAATAGTAAGCCCACAGGGAGCTACTCCCGCGCTTACTCCATGTTCTTGCTCCACACGACGTAACGGACACCACCAGCCACAGTGATCTCGCCAACCACACTCCTCGTGTTGAAGTCGAATAGCTGCACTACCTCCCCAGACCGCAGGAGGACCTAACACCAACGATGACCTCTACAAGAGGAAGTCTATACCCACCTTGTTGTTCCCGCCCTGGTAGATGGCCTCAACGTTGCTCTGATTCTTGGGCACCGGTGGATCGAACTTCTTCACCAACTCGTTATTCAAATTGTATAATCCGATCGTATTGTCTCGATGGAGTACCTAACAAGTAGAATCGACCAAATAATCGCCACTACCACGCTACTATTACCGCCAGTCTGTTCCTGCTCACGAAGCATGCACCGTTACAAGCAGCGCCTTCCTTCGGAGCTAGAGGATCTCGAAGTCCTTGGGCGAGCTGGGCGTTAGTGCAGGAGTAGAGATCATACGAACCTACATAATAGAAGTATCACACACAAAGCGACTGATATCAGAATCAATAGGGTAGATGAAGAAACTCGAAATTGTCCAATAAGAACGCGCTCATCCAATGACATTCCCTCCACGTGGGTGACCATACCACCCGCATCTTACCGACTCCTTGCTGGTCAACATACATGACAATAGCGTTCATATCAGTGCTCGAAAAAGGATTCACCATCAAAGACCTCAGAGACGATACCATAGCGTTCGGTGGACGCCTCAGAGATGACAGACTAGTCGACTGAGGAGTAACTAAACCAGCAGCAGTAGTAACGCCCTCACGACAGATGTTGCTAGACGTACTTTCAGTTGTTCCTGGCTGAGGCCTGGCCTGGTCGATGTTCTGTACGGTAAGGTAGCCACCATTTGCCAGATACAGCGACTGATGGCAACTTAAAACACGTATTAGATAATAATAAACACCCTACCTGTCCACCGTGACTGCTACTGCTACCAAGGCCAAACACTGGTCTCTCACGATCGAGCTTAAAAACGACCATGCCAGAATCATGACCGGCTGCGATGAGGCTGTTGGTCGGATGTACAGCCAGAATCCAAAAACGATCATTCTCGCGCCTGAAGGAGTATCTCAGCATGCCCGAGCG